TAATTATCAAATATCTAATAAGTAACTACTTTTGTCCTAAATTTGCTACTACTTACTGCTTAGTTAATCTTGCTTCTCTATTAGTTAATAGTATTAAGTTAAGTGTTAATGTAGTACTACCTATTACTACCTGCATAGTTACTTGTTAACAACGGACCATTATTCTAAAGTGTTACCAGTATATTTATTCCCAAATTCTCTCAACTTACTGTTATACTTTTATACCAAAACAAAACCACTGCAGTACTAACACAAGTAAACAAACTTATTTTAACATAACTTAAATACATAACTTGAATACATAAAAATATATATACAATTTAGTTTTTCTTAACAAGAGTCTCAAGTAAATAGAGAAGTCTGTTGGCCCTCTCATCTGCAGCCTTTTGTCTGGCTTCTTCCCTGGCTTCCTCTCTGGCCATTTCCTCCCTGAACATTTCAATGAGGCTCCTCTTTTTACCCCTTCGTCTGCTTGGTTCAGGCTCTCGGTCTTCATTGAGGGGCAAGGGAGAGGCATTTGAAGGCCCCGGCTCACCACAGGTGGAAGAGGCCTGGGACATTGAGGCAAGCAGCACTGGAGGAGTAACTGAATGCTTCTGACCCAAAGCCTCATCCATTAGGGTGAACCAGGGCCATGATGCAGCTGTATCCTCTCCCTTGTCAACCCCTGAACCAGTTGGTGGGTTTTTCAGCTCCTACAGAATTTTTTATTTTTTTTATAAACTGTAGAATGCATGTAAAAATATGTAACAAGAATATGTATAAAACATACCTTATATTTCTTTTTTAAGTTGTCCCACTTCTTCCGTGCTTGTTGTGGTGTTACTTTTCCCTCCAGTCCAATTGTCTGAAGCACTTTTCTTGAGAAAATTCAGTGAGATTAAACGTTTAAAAACATATGGATAACCTATCCCTGTAAAGCATGCAGGTGTAACCAAGGTTACTAAAGCTTATTGAAATTGTTCTGGAAAAAGAGAACACAAAGGTTATTGAGTCATATAACTGTACTTCGGGTTTTAAGTGTTAACTGGTTGTACCATTTTTGTGAAAAAAGGAACACGGTTGTTTAAAGATAGCTATAAACCAAACCAAGCTAGAAATTAATCTGAGTAAATAAGGAGTACCAGAACTAAGTAAAGAACTAACAGAATAACTACAGAATTAAATAACACTCAAAGAGTCGTTATCTGAGTAAAAACTGCTTTATTTCTATAATTTAATTAAAAAGGGGTTCTTTTGTTAATTTTTTTCCCTTTTTCTGAAGCTGTCATTTAGTTTTTTTTTCTTGTCTTTTCCCAACGCAAACAAATTAAAACAAAGAAATACAAAAGAAAAATACTTACCTTTTCAACTATAACCCTGTCTTGTGTTATTATTTCCCTTGTCTTGCTGCAACGCTGGCTCAAGAGCGAACGTAGGCTAGTCTTCTGATCTGGTCCAAGGCATTAGAAAGTGGTTTATGTTTAGATTGTAGGTCACGTGCTACACATTATTAACTCACAAAGGAAATATTAAATAATATAAGCTTTGAGTTACACGTCTGTACATTGCACTATAGGACAATGGTAAATCATACAGCAAAAGCTTAAGCATTTAGACTACCAATAATGCAACATTAACATTGGCATATAATAATTCTTAATTATATTCAACAACTTACATCCACCCGTTCACAGCACTGTTTTTATGGCCAGTGAATGCCTCCTCATTTTCAGCCCGGGCCGTTATGAAAGCGACTGTATCCTCAGATGACCCTTTTGAAATGATATTTGAACTATAAATAGAGAGCGCTTTGGCGATAACCAAGCAAATATTTAGCAACTACAACACTAATTTTTCGGTAGAAATGCAATCAAAAGTTGTCGAAAGTGAAAATAAAACTTACATTTGTATAAAAACTGCCCTCCAACCGCATTCTCCTACGGCATTTTTTTTTCTGAGCTCTACCATAATCGACTAAAGCAAGCCACTCCCCCTCGGACGAACACGCACAGGGTTGTGGGATATCAAAGGCAGCGAAGGATACATCTATGCTGCCTTCAAAAATTGATCAGATGAAGGCATCTCATGAGACAGGAAGTGAAGCTAACTTTGGATTCGGACATGCCTTGATGCCTTCCTACCTTGAAAGTCTTCCATCCTCCGAAGGCAGCATTTTTCAGTTTTCGGATGCAGCCATTATAATCAGTGATGCAGTCTACACTGGATGCGTCGCAACGCAACAAATCCCTGACAGACAACTGCTGCTGCATTCTATTTATGACGTATTGACTCAAATTTCAAATGATTTTCAACGGTGGCTTTGTCGCGTCCAGTGTAGACAGACTTTAGCTGTTGCGGTGCGTCCGGTGTAGACACAGTGTTACTCACCTATCGAGAAGAAACAAAGCAACCTCAGCATCCGATCGCAGGCCTTCCCGCTCCTTGAGTTCTCTCCAGCGCTGGAAAGCTGATCCGATATTTACACGGGTCCTACTTCTTGCCTTAAGCCTTCTTTTGTTCCGCAGACGTTTTCCTCTTTTGTTTTTTATCCGCCATCTAACGTTAAATCCTTCTGTCATCGCTCGGCTCGGCTAGTGTCTGTCTGGTGCACTGAGCGCTTTCTCCTCCACACCATGAGTAGACACGCCCCTTACTGCTGATTGGCTACAAGTTTGTTTTGGTATTTGGCCGACTCAGTTTTCTAAAGCCTATTTGTAAAAATACATACCCCACCTTTAAGAGGTAAAGCAAAAAAACATACACTCAACAAAAGTTCACACAGTTCTCATCACTCATATTTACATATTTATATTAAATGTTTGTCCATATTATGCTAATTTATGAACAAAAAGAAATATATAGGCTGCTTACAATTAGGGTTGCCAACTTTAGAAAATGAAAATAGGGGACAATCACCTTGGGGGGGGCGTTAGCGCGAGCACCGTTTGCTGTGAGGCGGGAGCGACGAGCCGACAGAGGATTAAGCAGCCTTCCTCGAACAGTTATGTTCACGATTTCTGATTTACTTAACTGTGTGAGGGGGATGATGGGGTGATTGGATGATGACAGGTATCAGTGATCATTCTCAAGTGATCAGTACTGCTGCTGTTGTATCAGTCAGTGGTAGATCAGCTTAGCAGTCAAAAAACGGGACAAGAGAAGTCATGCACGGGACAAATCAATTAGGCCCAAAATACGGGACGTCCTGGCTAATACGGGATGGTTGGCAACCCTACAAACCAAACGTTTTTAATACCAGATAACAGGTGCGATCTCGGATGACTGCATTAGCTAAGCTAATCGATTTGTTAGCATGTAAGCTAACTAATATTAATAGTTTAATTTGGTAATGTTAACCATATAATACATAATATAATACTTCATGCTTAAACTTAATCTGATAATTAAGAAAACCAGTGATAACCAGAAATCTTACACCTTTTATATAGGCTTTAAATGTATGTTTATTTTATTTATTTTTTATTTTAATTTAAAATAAGTCTAATTATCTCATACAGTTTTGTTGCTAGCGTTTCGCTTAATCTGAACCTGCGCCGAAAGCTACATTTATGCACAGCATCACTCGGGGATCCGCCCAAGAACCACCAGTACCTTTAAATGAAGTGTAGTGCGCCTCCCTTCACCGCGGTTAACATGAGCAGAGCTTCATACTGACAGCAGCTCTCGAGGGTGAACACTTGGTTAAGCTGCAGAGCCTCTAATAGAACCGGCACATATTGATTTCCTTTTGGGGTGAAGGTGTACGTATTTTTTTTTAGGTCTGTGCTCTTCCCCCGAATTCCGCTGATCCCATTTCATCTCAGGGCATTGCCTTTTAATTTATAGATCTCAGGTATTATGCAACATTGGATTATTCTACCAAGTGGTGAGAGGATTGATAATTTATATTTTTAAACACCGATAGCCTACACTTTCTTCCTTTAACCGGACGCTACATCTTCGGTCTCGGACATCGCAAACGAAAGAAACCGTCGGTTCTACTAATTCAAGGCTGGTGGTATATAGGTTCTCTACAGTACAATGCTGCTAAGTTTGTATACTCTGATGACATTTGTATGGGGACTACCCGGCTTTTCTGCCTCGTACGTGCCCTGTGAGCCGTGCGATCAGAAGGCGATGTCCATGTGTCCTCCGGTGCGGATGGAGTGTCAGGTGGTGAAGGAGCCCGGCTGCGGATGCTGCTTGACCTGCGCACTGACCGAGGGGCAGGCGTGTGGAGTCTACACGGGCACTTGTGGACAGGGACTGCGCTGCTTGCCTCGGAACGGGGAGGAAAAGCCGCTGCACGCTCTGCTTTACGGCAAAGGAGTTTGCATGAACGAGAAACTATACAAACCACTGCCTAGAGGTAATTTTTATTGACATGCACTAGGTCATTTGTATGCAAATTCAAATAATTGAATATAGGGGAAACTATTTTTCTATCTATCTATCTATCTATCGTCTGTCTGTCTATCTGTCTATCTATGCTGTATTATCTAGGTCAGGACATCCATAGCAGAAAATCTTGTAGGATGTATTTTATCTGGATGAGTTTTTACACTTATTGAATACAGAATTGGTATTTAAATCAAATTCCTTTTCAGCAATCCCCCACCCACACACCCGCAGATCTATCTCTCTGTCATTCTCTTTGTCACACTCTTTCACAGGCTTTAGCCTCCCCTGCCTTTCTTTTCAGCTCCATAAAAATCAGCGATTAACTCAGCTGTCAGCACTCTTAAAACTGTGATTATGCGATCTCATCACATTTACTGAAAACAGCTGCTGCAGCAATTTCACTCTGAATCTTCATCTTGCAAGTCGTTAAAAATTTAGACCAGAATGGGAGGCTTGAGAATGGTTCTGACAGAGAACGAACTAGAAGAATGAGGCAGCATTCTGAATATAATAAATAAAATGTTAAAAAGCTAAAAAAAAATTAAAAAGTGTTTACATAAATGAGTTTAGATGCTCAGATGGGACTCTATGCTGCCTCTAAATTCTGTGTAAACACTTAATTTTGAGTTAAAATATGTTGTTGTAACTTGCGTTACTGAGATTGTAACGAGTAATAATATTACCCAAATTGTATTAGTAATGCGTTATATTACTGCGTTACAGCAAAAAGTAATATACTACTGTAATATTATTACTTTTGTAATGCGTTACTCCCAACACTGGTAAAGATGCAATGCTACTTAAAAGTACTATAGTTCTTCTGGCCAAAAAGGACGATGATGTTGATTTGGTTCAATAAATGAAAGTAAAATCACTTTCACATTTTTATTTCATGTGGTATATTTATAAATTTACAAGTCTGGAATTAAAAAAATTATATTGTTGATTACGAAAGTAAAAAAAAACGTTTTTCCCCTGCATGTTATTTGCGAGGCTCTGCATTAAACATTTTGTGTAAATGCACTCGTTTAGTGCCACCTTTGTACTATAACAATGAGATTTTAGTAATAAAAGGCATGTTAACAGTATGTAACAGAAGACATTTAGAAGACAAACCAGGGAGAAAGAATGACCACCTCTCCCAGGGCTGCACAGATCTCAGATTAGCATGCATTCCCAGAAGAATACCCCCAGATTAGGAGACTTGGAAGTGCACTTGCCCCATCGCTAAAATAAAAAGTATTATCCCTCAAATAAAAGATCCGGTTAACTAATGCTTGGCAGATGATAAAACAACAGATTAGGAAAGAAGCGGAAGCACAATGTTGATTTATTCAATGATTTCCAAGCTTTGCTGAGGTCTTTCTCAGATTTGTCAGTGATGTCATCGCAAATGGCTTGAGAGATTTGCTCATCCATTGTGACCCTGGCTGCTTAGCTTTTCCACAGAAGACACAGAAGGGACGAGGAAGGGGTCAAGCCCTTGAATCTGATTACTCACTGTACAGCTGGGCAAATGCAGTGACGTGTGAGAGAGAGGATGAGGGTATAGACTAGGCAAATTGAAGATAGCATCTGGCATCTCTGCTTACAATTAAAATAATAGAGCCGGTGGTTGAGTTCAAACTCTTGACCGCTTTTGTCAGGCTTGATTTGATTCTATGACAAGTGAAAATGTAACTTCCAAAACTTCCATGATAGGTTTTTACAGACTGTGTATTCAGAAATACCTGCTTTTTACATTTTCCAATTTGGATAACTTTTCTATAGTTTCTATAATAAGTTCATGGTTATATTGTGAGGAAGGCACGTTAAATGAAATATGCTTGACAGAGTTATTTTCGCTAATAACGTTTTCATTATGAGATGACGTCTCGAGAAAGCCAACAGCTTAAAAAGCACCAGAAATCTGTTGATCTGTTGTCTCTTCTCAAGAGTATTGGCTGACTCTCAGATGCTAAACATTAGTCTTGCTAAGTCTTCTTTACAAGCAGTATTCCAATAAACTGAGCAGCAACATTCTCTGTGTATGCTGTAAGACCAGTGCAGGAAGATAAAAGTATTTCTTGTGGATAGATATTGACAAAGTGACTGTAATCAACTTGAAGCAAACCAGTCCATTGTGGCCTTTAATTGATGGTCTTGATTGTTTTCTGATTGAAATACAGGCGTCTTGACAGTGTAAACAGCCCTGGTGTATTTGTTACATGGATCTCAGTTATACCATTGCATCCGACTATTGTCCTCTTCTCAGATCGTGAGTCACATGAAGACACCCACATTACAGAGGTAACAGAGGATCTTCTTCCCCAGGCCAAAGTTCCATTATTCCAACGAGACCACATTAACAGCAAGAAGGCTCAGGCCATGCGAAAGGATCAGAAGAGACAGGAGGCTAAACTCAGGATCAGGGGCAATTTTGAATACCCGCTCTTCGGAAAGGACAAACATCAGTCTGACATTGTAAGTTTGTTCATCAACATTCATCTGATGTTAGTGAAAAACACTAACGTTTTCATGCTGTTTCTGTTATTTTAATGTTTATATTAATGCCTAACACATTTTCCAGAAAGTTCTGTTAATGGTATGTCTGCTAACTGCAGGGTCCATGCCGAAGAAAGCTGGATGGAATTATCCAGAGGATGAAGGACAACTCAAGAATCATGGCTCGTTCGCTGTACCTGCCTAACTGTGATAAGAAAGGCTTATTCAAGCGCAAACAGGTTAGTTCTGCACTTCAGCATGTTTATAGATGTCAGCTACTGGCATGCTTAGTTGTCGGAAAGTTTTCTTTCCTATAAACACATGGCTATTGGCTGAGGGCAGGGTCAAGTTACATTGCTTACTTTATGATGTCTATTTTTGGTTTTATGTCACAGTGTAAACCCTCCAGGGGGCGCAAACGAGGCATCTGCTGGTGTGTAAACAAGCATGGAGTTCAGATGCCGGGCACTGACTTTAATGGAGGCAACATCCAATGCAAAGATCTTGAAAGCAACAGCAACAACAACGAATGAGACAACTCAAATTTGGTCGCGTAACAATGACAATGTAAACCCACTTTCATCTACCATATTATGTGATTTGCCAATCATTTCTAATCTTAATCTTAAGAAGTCTGACCTTTATTTGTGGAAAATCCATATTATATAAAAAAAACAGCCTCTTTTAAAGCTAAGCAGAGGATATACTCAATACAAGCAACAGTTATTGAATCCTGCAATTGTCCTCTTTGATCTTCACGTGTCATTAAGGTTGGTAGGATGTATCAAGTATCATTTGGGAAATGTACTAGAGTCATGGAATAGTTTCCACTATATCTTATCATGGACGTCTTAAACGGTTTTATGAGCTTTAAGGAACAGTTTACCACAAATTTTAAATTCTGTCGTTATTTACCCATTCTCATGTTGTTGTTTTTTTTTTACCCATATGACACTCCTTCTTCTGTGGAACACAAAATAAGATTTCCAACAGTTTTGTCCATACAGTTTAAGTCAGTTGTGTCTAAAACACTGGATCTTTTGTGTATTCTTTTGTCTTCCACAGAAAAAAAAAAAAACGCATACAATTTTGGAATGACAAGGTGAATAAATGATGGCAGAATTTGCATTTTGGGTGAACTATCCCCATATATTAATATGGCTGTTTCATATGACTTTGCTTTTGTCCATGGCACAGCACTTATTCACTGAATAGTACTTGTATAGTCTTCACACACTCTGTTTATCAGTTGTTTTGTACCACCCTTTCCAAAGGTTTCAGCACAGTTTATTGTCTTGGCGCATTGTTTTGCCAGCCTGAATGATATATTGAAATTTATATTCTAATAACCACTGTTTTAATGCACTGTAAAAACAAACAAACAAAAGCCCTATGAAAGAAAGCAAAGCACAACACAACATCTCAATAAGCTTAGACACATATATTAACATGCAGTTTATATAAATCACTACTGAATAAGAAAGACTCAACATTTGAATGCACAATGGTGACAAAACAACCAGCCACTTTTCTATTTTTTTCAAACTTTAACAGGTCAGGGTCCTTGGGTTCTTATGGAAATCTCAGTGCCTTTTTCTACTCAAATATTTGAATACTGATTTACATCAAAGGCATCAAAGGGGCCAAAGAGGGAAAACACAAACACTCAAAATGCTGACCTTTAGTTTGCAGGAGTGTAGATTCAAAAAAGCAAATTCAATGTTCTTAAAAAGTAGGCAAATTGAGATTATTTGCATTATGAAAATGCCATAGTAGTACAGTACCAAAGGTACTGTACTACTATGTGTTGGCCCACAGACTTGAATTTGGTGCAACCACATTTTCCACCTAATGGTATCAAAAATATGCTTCATGCTTATGAGATTATTTGCATTGCATGTGTGACTTACGTATCAGATCAGAGCCTGACAACAGTTCAGAATTGTTGCCTGTTTGCAGAATTGTAGAAAGCCCACTGTCATCATCACCTGTAAACCAGATTGACTCTTCTATTTTAGCCATAATCCTCAAAGTTGTGAGATTTTTAAAGGACAATATTCCTCTTGTTACTCTTGAGTAACATGGAAATGATTCTGAATGGTACCACTCCATGTGGTAGAGTTAGACTCACTATTATGAGACAAAAATACAAAGCAGAGCAGTTAGACAAGTTTAGTGTAGATTCTTATTCTTCTTAATTTAATAGCTTATTTAAGATGTGCCCAAATCAAGTAATATGGATGATCAAATTCTTTGTATCACATCTAAATACTTGTGTGCAATATTTATTTGCCATGTAATTTATGTACTCTTATTTTTGTCTCTTTTGTAAAGACAAAACATTTATTTAATAAATATATGAATATAAAGATATTCAGATATAATAATATAAACTTTTTATTTATTTCTGTGTACTGTGCTTCATCAGATACAGTTTGAGAAGAGCATACTCACAGGAGTAATTTCAAATATTGAATTGGTGCATCACTAATTACATTTGCAGCATGTTTTTTTTTTTTTATATTTTATAAATTCTAGTTAATGTGTTTGTTCTGCCTTCATGAATGATTTAAAGACACCTATGACTTTTGTCACTTGAAAAAAAAAAAAAAAAAACTGCAAATAATACCTTGAAATACTTCTTTATTTGTGTACATGTAAAACATTGGGTCCAAAATACCAAGTGACAATGACACCTAACAGCAAGGTTGAACTGTGTGTAAGATTTGCACAAAGTAAATCACAATGTTAAGTTAAAATAGTTAGTGAAAATCTCTATTAAATCTATTTAACACATCTTCATTGACTTTTTATGCAACGTTATAATTATGTTTGCTCTTCCTTTGTGTGACCACCAGATGTCAGTGGTTATATGCAATTGGAAAAAGAACATCAACTGCATTAGTACAAACTGTGAGAGTAGCCCAATGTAATTCATTTCTGTAAATTTTTTAAGGTAAGGCACTAGCTCAACGACTTACTGTACAATGTAGTGCTTCACTGTTTGTCAAAAGGAACACTGTCCTATCCAATAAGAATCATTACTATAGCATTTCCTGCACAATATGAGAAGAGGCAACCTATAAAAGAAGTGTATTGAAACAAATAGCACCAGTAACATCATGAGAGAAATAAAACGTATACATACGAAGTATGTGAAAGTGTTAAAGGTAAGTTTACAATCCTACAATCCTAGTTATTTTCCTACAGAAAATTAGTAGTATGAGCTAATGCTAATCTCAGTCCTCTGGTCATATGTCATCACTTAGCTTGGATTGAATGAATACTATCAGTTCAGTTATATCAGTACTTCAACTGTAACAATACTGTTTCAAACCATCTCAAATCTATAAGCGCAAAAATGTATAAACACACAAGGTATATTGGTAGCTTGTTTAGAGAGTGTAAAACACTGACTCCTTTAGGGGCAAGTGTGTGGGTTTGTAGGCTTGAAGGTCAAGATGGGAAGGGATAGGAAGGTTTAGGACATTGTTAGTTTATAGGGTCCACAGAGGGATCCATGTCCTCAAGGTACTGGCTGCAGTTGGGATCACCCCTTATCAGTGGAGAGGTGGGGATGGGTCTTCCTGTGTGTGGATTCACGCACCAGCACTCACCACGATGTCCATTCACTGACATCTTACACTGAAACACACACAATAGTCAAATGAGCTTTTAGAACTAAATTTAGCGTTTAAAATTTGATTGACACATTTGTGGCCATATATTGGTTACCACAAAAACATTTTTAAAAATACTTTTCTTTTAAACAGCACTTACAATGGAAGTGAATGGGGAATACTGAAAATAATGAAGATGTGTAACATCCTTTTTGTTTACATCAAAGTAAACAATATGCATATTAACATGATTTTAGAGTGGAAAAATTGCTTACTTGTTCTGTGTGAAATAATATGAATTTTGAAATTTGATTTGAAATATGAATTTTGAAACAATGCATTAACCCTAAAACGACTGTTAAAAATAGAAAACAAATTACAGCTCAGGAAATACAGTTTTAATAAAGGTTTTGACAGGATAATTTAATGTCACCAAAGCTCAAATTATAAGCTTTTCAACATTTCTACTTGTAAATTCTTTAAAAAGAATCGGCACAATTCATTTCCATGATAAGTGGAATAAAATAACCCCTTTTTTATATTTTCCCTTATTTTTATGCAATAAATATTGGGCCACAAATTGATTATAACTTGTATTGAACTTGAACTTGTATAGAATATTCCTTTAAGGCATTTATTTGTTTGTATTCCTGTGATGTTAAAAGTAAAACATGGCATTAGTGATGCCAAGATCATGGGTTTGATTCCCATAGAATGCATGAGCTGATAAGATGGATGCCTTGAATGCACTGTAAATCACTTTGTATAAATGTTTCTGGTAAATGCATACATTTCAATGATTTCTTTGGATAAGCAGGATAAGTTCTCCACATAAAACGCATCAACTTTGGTGCAACATCAGTTAAGGTGGGTCAGAAGCTTTAAGATCCCTCAGACTAAAGCAATAAATAAATAAAGGATCGAGAGAGAGAGCGAGAGAGAGAGATTAAGAAAATAAGAGATGAGATGTGAGGAGAAGGAGATGGGGAGAAATGAGAGGGATGAACTATCACATCAACTTTCTTTCTGTTTCTAATCTCTGGCATTGCAAGGTTATGGTAAATGATCCATTATGATAAATTCATTTTAAAGGGGGTACAAATATTCCATGTAGTCTCAATTATATCAGGTGTTAAAAGCTGCCTGCCTGCACAGTTTTATTTAATATTAAAGAATTACCACATTTCTTATTAAAATAGGTTTAGATGGATTAGAGGAAGTCACCCTGCGAAACATGTAAACGATCCAAAAAGTATTTAATGTCTACCCACATATGGCAAATCTACAAAAATGTCTGTTGCTTTGAACTTCTTGCTGCTGAGTAGGGAATTAAATACCTGTTTCAGGTTGTACTGCCCCCTCTTGTCACAGTTGGGTATGTGCAGGGAATAAAGGTCCTCCAGGGGGCCCCTGTTATCTCTGAAGGGTATTTTTGCAATCCTTTCCAGGACCTGGTCAAGCTCCTGCTGACACTGGCTCTAAAATATATAAATAAATGGGTTTGTATTTTTAAATGGTGGTCAGATTGGTATGTCCATAACGTTGTCATATTTAACATTCATTTCTCAAATGGCTTTTCTTCCCCTCCTGAGAATAAATGATGTGTGTACTGAGCCTGAAAAAATGCTTTGCACATTACTGTGCATTTGAAGTCTACAAACTGAACAGATTTGATCACTGTATTGTGGTCAAGGCCCTTAGCCAAGATAAATAAGCTCCAGATACAATTATTAATCATAAGTCAATGGGAACAACATGTTTTGTCCAGGTTTGGAACAACTATGGCAGATTCAGAATTTACATACAGCTTATAATATTAGAATGCAATGAGTAAAAAATATACACTTTAGGCAAATATAAACTTACTGTATCTCTGCACTTCCAAATGAGAAATTCCACACAAAGATACTCAAAACACATCAGAGAGAAGATCAAAACAATTTCATAGATTTTACTTATGATTTGCATCACCTACCTGTTTGGCATGTGGTGCTTTAGGGTCCTCAACTTTATTGTACTTCATCTTGGTCTTCAGCTGCTGACGGTGTTGAAGGACAGCACTCTCCTTCCATGGACTGTCTTTGGTGGGCTTCCTTATCGGAGGAACCTCAGTCAGACCAATGTCCAAAGAGTCCTGTACCTCACCTGATGATAGGACACAAAGATTTTTACAAGTTAAAATTCGTCAAAAAGTGATCTTAATATAACAGGGTATTCATACATATTTATTTTAGCCTTTTATATCTAAAATCCGTATTGGTCTACAAAAAATATTTCAGCAGCCATGCCACTAGTATTCATAGTTTTCGCATGACGACACATTCTTGTAGAAGAGCAATTGTTTTTCTTTGTTAATCATTTTTCACATCAAGTGTTTTAGAATGTCCCGCTGTTTGTAGTGTTTGAAATAATGCGACAGATACTGTATATGGATCCCAAGGGCCTAAAAATTGTTCGTTGTGACAACAAACTTTCAACTCAGTGCTATCCACAGCCGGAGCTACTTTCTCTGTGCATGGCAGGACTGGAAAAATGTCACCAAAATGAACAAAATGCCACCCAAGTTCTAGAAAAGGGGGAACAACAACAACAACAACAACAACAACACACTAAAATTATTATGGCTGCCACAATTAAAGTGAGACCTTTAAATCTGCTCACCCTACATTGAGGATTTAATTTTAAGTGTATTGTTGCAGCGTCGAGCATTGTAACCAATCACACACATTTCTGTTATGTGTATAAATGCAATGGCCATTGGTCACCAGTTGTTACGGAGAGAACAGAGGAAGCGTGCGGATCCATATGCAGAGCTTTATTCACAGGTGTGGTCACAAACTGGCATGGGTCAATAAACAGCAAACAGGCGTGGGTCATCGATCGGCGAACGTAATTCAGAGGGCTTGACAAAAGGGGTAATCTGTAAACACGAGCAATAGTCAAAGGACCAGAAAACAGGCAAGGCAAAACTAGACTAAGACTAAAAAATAAACAATGGCTAACGAAATGGCTCCGTAACGTAGCTATCACTGACTAGCGATATGCACATATAATACTCAGCGTTGAATGGTGTTGTGATTCTGATTTATATAGCGCGTGTTATTGGTAGCAGCTGTGTGTGATTGGTTTCAGGTGAGCTTGTGATTAGTGCAATGGCGCATGGGAAATGTAGTCCAGGGTGATGTGTAACAGTCTGTGTAGTGTGAGAGTCCATGTGGAGAGCGGGTGACCTCTGGTGGTGAGTGAACAGAAGTTTATAGACCGGATTCGTGACACCAGTGATGAAGAAATCTGCTGTTTGGTTCAGTGTGCATGCTCACTGCAGCCCCACCCTGCAAAAATTTCCTTTTTAATTCCTTTTTTAATAAATTCCTTTTTTAAAATGTAAAATTTATATATATAATTTATACATTATTTAGGCTATTTAAATTATAAAATATTATGCAATTGTTATGCATTGATCTGTAAATTGCTGCACTGTTCCACCTTTACAGTGTAAAGATGACCTTTGTTGATGCTGAAAAAAAAATGTTTTTAAAAAAAAATTGCTATAGTATTCTGATTGATTGAAGTAAATGGTTACATTTCAGTATTCAACATAAAAGACGATTTGTTATAATTACAAAAAGCCAATTATAAAAATTGTGCATATGCCAAATGGCCTTGAAAATAAATTCCCTGGGGACAAATACTGGCCTTTAATGGAAAAGTTGATTTCGGACCCTGGTGTTTTGTTGTTGTTTTAATTCAACTAAACATAACAAGCCTAGCTCAACACTATGACTTCAAGAGCACTTATTTGTGTCTCTTTATCATAATGTGCTATATTTTGTGGAAATGTTCACTTAATTTTGTAAATGTGCATGAGGTTTCACATTTCTGAATCATGTATATATTTATATTGAGAATTATACTGACTCCATTCAGATTGGTCTCTCTTCATCTAGTAACTCCATAGAAACAGCCTTGGGTGACACTTTTGAACTGGTCTTTATAATGTTTTGCAGAATAATTGAGTCTGGACTGTTAAATTATTGAAAATTATGCCAGATAAATGAATGTCAGACAAACATACCACATACCACAGCAATAAACAGCGAGACTGAACAGCAGGTAATAACAAAAACACTCTTAATTTTCCACTTGTCAACACTTCTTAAGAGCTTGCTGCTTAACCTCAGTGGTGATCTCTTTGAAGCTAGTATCCCAGCAGGTTCTACAGAAGTGGAATGAAATCAGGTGTACAGTATGCAAGAGAGGGCTTTTTCATTCCAGAGGTGAAGCATTCCTGCTTTCCCTGAAAAACTTCAGACATAGCCTATTTTGGCACAGAGGATAACCCCACCAAGCAAACCGGCACTAGAGTCCTGCACACTGTGTCCCTTCTTATCTAAACACTGAAGATTAGTGTGCAGAGCTGGTGTGTCTGGATGACGTAGCAATATTAAAAATTTTAAAATATAAAGTAACACTTCACGATAAGGTTGGTTAACATTATTTAAAATGAACTGACAATGAATAATACTTAGTTAACATTAACTAAAATGTTTTTTAAAATCTAATTTTTTAACATTATTAAAGATTAATAAAGGCTATTACATATTGTTCATTGTTAGTTTGTTAGCTTGTGAAGTAACTGATGAGACATTATTGTAAAGTGAAATATATATGATTGTTTTTTTGTTGTTTGTTTTTTTGTTTTTTTACTTTTTACCATCTTCTCTTTGAGCCATGCCTAGCAATCTTGGACCATAATGTTTGTATCACACTGCTTAAATGTTCATCTTACTTTGAGGACATACCAAGAACAACTTTAATCAAGCCCTGAATGTTCAAAAGTCTTATCTTCATGTTTTCCATGTATTTGTATTCAAAAGCCACCCTTAATAAGCTGCAGTGGACTTTTTGGATGTCTCCCCAAGTTCCCCAAGTACAATCATTCAATGGAAAGTGGAAGGAACTGTTTTAATCTGCAGATGTTTTCCAAGTCCTTCAGGAAATAAATAGGGGATTCACGAAGGATGGTAATTCTTAAAATAATCCACATAGAGGGCCAATCATCACTGTCCAGCAGCAAAGAGATGAACACCAAACTAATGTGATTCATTTTTACAACCAGAGGGCTGGTTGTTAAGTTGTTTCCATTACCTTTACATCTACCATGAGAATATAACTGCATGGATGCTCAAAATGCATGCTGGTTTGAATGGGTAAAGAACTTACAGTGCTGGAAGGGATGCCAATATGTTGGCGTAGGGTCATGCCAACAAGCTTAATCACTACCATCTTATCTGGCATCATCCAATGCAAACTCTACACTGGAACTCTGGCATGGTAGTCAGCACTGATGTTACATGGGAACTACACGCTCCTTGCCTTAGTAAAAAAAATCTCCTCTCCATCTGTTTGGGATCAAAAAATTCTGTTCTACGCTGAAAGGATGGCATTGAAAACTATAAGATAGAGATCTGTTTCACTGCTTCAACACTAATTTAATATCCTATGTTCTTTGCAAGGACCTTTTTTTCTCTTTCCCAGTGGTAGAAGTGCAGATAAATATATTTCAATTGTTTCTAAGTCCTCAACAGTAAGCAGATCGGGCAGGTTTATACATGGGTGACCGCGCGATCCCAGTTCAGCGATCAGTTCTCAGCGCCTTAGTTGTCAAATACACACACAGCTGTCAAAATGTCCATCGTGTGGAGTATCTTACGTAAATACAGTCGGTTATGGCTTAAGCCTTAAGTGAACGTAAACAGGTGGGTGAAAACCAGCTATTCGGTCTTAAAGGGACAGCAGCCTAATTAAATAGGCTACCTGTCTGTCTCATTAATGTTAATCAAACAACAAAAGATTAAATAAAGGTTAAATAAATGTATACATGTTAAACCAACTGTATTAGAAAAATAAGTTTATTTAATATTTAATTTGTATCTACTGTATTTGTCTTATGGTTTGTAATTTGCTTCTCGAATAACAGAACTCTTCAGAGAATTTTATTCTTATTGAAATACATGGTGTTTTATAATCGTGTGCTGAAAATGACCTCCAACAAATGTATGTACAGGGGTCCTCATAAGAGCACATGGAGATTTGATTTGGTCCTCACACTGCACATAGTGTGACCCATTAAATATAACTATTAAAAAAAATGAATAATAGTGATAATATTATTGCACTTTATTTTGTTAGTTTTTCAAAATAAAATAATAAACAAAATAATAAAGTGTGATAATTCTATTTTTAAATAAAAAGGGAGTATTAAATACAAATACAATTATTTTATAGTAAACTTAAAAATAAAATGCTAATATTTACTTCTTTTTTTATATGAATTTTCATCATTTTCAACCTTAAAATCAGCAGGCTTTTCTTTTGGCGACTTGCCGGCAAGTAAGTATGCGCTTCCGGGTTTAGCGCACTGATTGAAGAGCATCAGTGAATGAAATGTCACAGTTTTGCATTGTGCTTTGAAAACGGCTACGGGTAGCCTAGATTTAAGCTTTTGAATTGAAATCTTTTACAGTGCAGTTTGTCGATCTAAAATGGTAATTGTGAATTAACAGCTGGCAACCATGTCTGCACGCAAATACGCTGTCAGAATTTTTTATTTTGGTCGCGCATGCGGACCCGCGGACCATTTATGTGCACCCGCTTTATATAGCGCGGTAAAGTTAGTTTTAGGTTCGATATTCGCCAGACATTCGCTTTCGCGTGCCACTGTTCTATAGAGTCAAGGGTTTTTTTATGTTCCAAAGGTTGTAGTACATTCCTAGTGGCCAGACTGATTTACTACAGGTGAAGGTTTGCCAATATCTCTCTTACTGTAAATACAGTACATAATAATTCTTAGAAAAAAGTAGTAAAATTCACCAAAAGTTTTTTTTTTCATGTTCCAAAGGCTGTAGTACATTCCTAGTGTCCAGACTGACTACAAGTGAGATTTTGCCGATATCTCCTCAAAGTTTTTTTTTTCATGTTCCAAAGGCTGTAGTACATTCCTAGTGACCAGACTGACTTACTGCAGGTGACATTTTTCCAATATCTCCCTTACTGTACACACAGTACATAATTATTCTTAGAAAACAATTACTGTAATTCACCAAAAGTTTTTTTTTTATGTTCCAAAGGTTGTAGTACATTCC